ACCTCTGTTAGGAACTTTTCCCTTATCCACTTCCACCTAATCAAAGGGAGCCAGGTGATAACCAAATGTCCACTAGCCACAACGCCTATATACGTAAATGCTGATCTTTGAATCTATAGGCTAAGGAGTGATGTACTTTCAAATGGATTGGTTAAGAAAGTATATGTTGTTACAAATCTATTGGTTATGAAATGCGCGGGCTATGGTGTAACGGCCAGTGAAGGCCTATATAAGATCCCCTTTGAAGAAGTTCGAGGTCTTGCCTTACCTATCTGACCTGCGTGTCTGTGTAGGTGGTGGGACCCTGGCTAGCCAGTCTTACAATAAACCTTGCTTGCTGTTTGCAGTCTCTGGAGTCTCTTTGTCGTTAAAGGGAGATCAGGATCGGCGTCCTAACACTACAAAGCAAGGCCATAGGTAGATTCCAAATACTCAGAATTAAATGTCTTGATGAGATTCAGCAGTAATTAGTGTTGTGATAATAGCTCCAAACATTTTAGGCCTAACAATTGATATGTCCTTTCTCCCTTGTGACAAGGAGCTTTGGTTCATTGAGTCACACTCATCACAGTGCTCCCAAGTTACTCCCATTCCTTTGTTCATCTGTAACCACTTCTTTGTGCTCTCTTCCCCAAACAGTTAATCAGCTTTTCTCCTAATCAGAATCTGTTAATTTGTAGGGTCAGATCCTTCTAGGACACTGAACTTGTATTGTAAGTTAATATTGCCTCTCTCCTCTCCTTATGTCTCTTGAATCGTTTACTTTAATGCAATGTCCTTTTTGTATAGATACAGGAAGAGAGTTAATATTATGCTTTGTAATTTAGGATTTAATTGGCTTTGAAATGTATTCATTTCCGGACATCTGCTTTCTCAACTTAAGCCTCAGTTGCCCCTCACTTCCTAGCACCCCCAAAAGCAGGGGACTGGATGGAACCAGGCAAGCAATAAGTTATGTGCTACCCTGGCATCGAGATGGGCCAGGCCAAAGCGCCACAATTCTTAACTATAAGTTAGGAGTTTGATCATAGACAAATGCTGTCACGATCCAAAAGTAACGACTAGACTAGGACCCTGCTAGGGATAGGAAAGACTATCTGGCCTGAGCACTGTAGTCTGAGATCGAGATGGCCCTAGGAGAGCAATTCTATGAGCTTAAGGTATTTCTTACTGTGTTCATACAAAATGACTTATATTATGTATGCTTATATGTTTGTTGGACAAGGAGAGGAGAAACACACCCAGAGGACTCTGTTCTAGGGTGGATTGATCTGCTAAATGAGAATCTGTCCTCGAAGCAACTTTCCCATGTGTCCTGACTGGCTTGGATGAGACTGAACATTTCTCCCCTTCAAACTGCCTTCAGTAAATAATTTCAATATATTGTAAGAGGGAGTTTTCCTTTCCTCACAGAAACCCGGCTTGTCCTTGACATGCAGAGCTCAGGTGCTAGTGAGGCCAGATCTTTGGGATGTAGATTCTAGGCTCTAGCCAGACCAGTCTTTGGGATGCAAATCCCAGTGCTTGTAGCTTGTGAAAGTGCTCGTGAAAGGTTTCAGTTTTGCTTTTGTATCTTCTTTCCAGGCCAAAATTGCTGGCCAGCAGATGCAAAGAAACAATGTATGTTTTGCCACCTCAATGTTCTTTCTGTAACTCCTTTTGATGACATCACTGCATTGCGCGCCCTTTAGACGCACCAAGATCTATATAAGGAGATTTTCGGGGCTCTCTAGGGGGGCCGGCCTGAGAGAATTGGGGGTCACAGGTCTGAGAGAACCTGGGCCCTCCATGACATAAATTTCTTTTATGGGATATAATGAGACTGTAAGAGGGGGCTGAGAGAGGCCGAGGAGAGACAGGAGTGAATGGAGAGAGGATTGGAATAAACTGCAATTTAGACCAACCAGCCTGGCCCTCCTTTCTTTCCTTTGCCCGCCCATCACCATCGACCTCCCTGGAGTGAGGGAAAAGGCCTGAGACTACCCTACCGAACGCAGGCAGAGGGAGAGATAGACCGCTGTCGTCCTTTTGTGTTAACACAAATTAGGACAGATAAACCTACCAGAGAGAACCGTTATCCCTCTTAGGAGATTAGAGGTCTTTTAAAATATTACTCAGAATTATATGCTGACTTAAGTGTTTAAGCTATAGGGATTTAAGTGGTGGAATCAAGGATCTATGGTATTTTAATATCTCCTTTCTTAATTTAACTTTTAGTGAAGTCATGTGTGAAATACTCTGAGGTCCACCTCACTAGGTCTGAGAAAACCCTTGCCTTTGATTAGAGAGAGAAGGAATATTAGTCATTAGAAAAGCAGTATCAACACAGGGTTCCCCAACCATTCAAAAATGGCAAACTCCTTAAACTCACAGGATGGAAATTATATAGCAGTGAGGCCTAAAATAAGCATTACTTTTATTTTCATTACTTACAGATTGAAGTATACACTTCATAGACAACTCTTTGAAGAGTAGTGAGCCAATGGCAGATTTTGGCTTAAAATCAAAAGCAGCCTTCAAAAGAAAATTAAAAGGCACTCAGCTTTGATGGTGGCACTTTGGTAGAGACCTCGGGGTGAAAGAATCCATATTAGGGCATCAAATTTTTGTGTACTTTAGCTAACTTGCAACATTGCTTTCTGTAAAACTGCTTGGCTGCTTTGCACCTGGGGGAGAGGAGACTTGGAAAGTGAACAGGGCATAACTTCTTTCTAAACCAAGTGTGACAGGATTCAGGTGTATTTACTGTCCCTGAAATGTATTGTCTCAGTAAAGCACCCTGCAGATTTGGGTAAAGGATAACTCAGGATGCGGGTGGTGGGGGGAAATTGCCCTTTCCTGGAATGTATTGTCTCACTAAAGCACCCTGCAGACTTGGGTAACTCAAAACGAGGATGGTCAAGGGTGATTACCTAAGGCTTAATGATTCCAGCTATAACCTTGCTTGTGCTGACAATCGATATACGTAAATGCTGATCTTTGAATCTATAGGCTAAGCAGTGAGGTACTTTTAAATGGATTGGTTAAGAAAGTATATGTTGTTACAAATCTATTGGCTATGAAATGCGCGGGCTTTGCTGTAACGGCCAGTGAAGGCCTATATAAGATCCCCTTTGAAGAAGTTCGGGGCTCTCAGCCACTGCCCGTTTTTGGGGTATGCTGCGGAGCCCCAGCATGCTGGTCTAAATAAACCCCGTTTTTACTCCTGCAGGAATTGTGTCTATCTGGTCTCTCCGCGCCTCCCTGGGCTAGGGAACTCCGGATCCCAACAGGAGCAGAGAATTGCTTCTACACAGGTTGAATGGACTGTCCTGCAGTCAGTGTGGAAAGTAAATAAAAACAAGCCAATATCATAACCACTTACCTCATACAGACAGGGGAAAACATACAGAAAAAAATAGCCTCAAGACGGTGAGTCAGAGCTGGCTAGGCCAGGAATATCCTTCCTCACTCTATGGGTAGCTCAGGACTTTGACGCTCTCGCTCTCATTTCATCTCCCAAAGTGAGGTGTAAAGAGCCCTCTACAGAAAGAGAGAATAAGCCTCCAATTCTTTTATGGTTTGGCACAGTCCTAGGTGACATGCACTCGCTAGAAAATTATGTGGGCAGAGTGTGGCCCTCACAGCAAGCTGCTATCCTGAGATCCAAGGGCCAAAGTCTTTGTACTCTGTCTCTTCTCACTCTCTGTAACTTTGAGAACAAATATTGGTCTTCCAGGCCTCTCTACTTCTCCATCTGGGATTGTTTTACTGTAAAGAGATCTTTTGGCTACAGGGTTTGGTAGAAGGATTTACAGTGTCATTTTTAGCAGATTCTTTGACTCTTCCAAGTAATATATCAGCAGGGGATAAACCCCACTTAAATTACTGATGACAGAATTTTATTCCATACATACATATGAGGGCACAACTCTAGCAAATGATAGCTAGAAATTCTGAGAGCATTAAGTGTTGCTGTTATTGTCATTGTAGCAGTGCTCAAGGCTCCACATGATGTCAGGGATTAAACCCAGGGACCCACACATGTAAGTTATGCCCTCTTTCTGTTGAGTCATAGCCCAGGCCGGCAGTAAGATTTTCTTTGCTTTGCTCCTTCTTCACAAAGAGAAGCACTGCAGATGGAACCAATGTAAATCTCATCAAGAACACTACTATAAAACTTAGATCTAAGTAATTACCAAGGGGACAGGACAAGTCAGCGATGTAGCTGGACGTATCTTACAGAAGAGCAAGATCTTTTGAATATGATCTTAATGTTGCCTGGAGTTTGAACCAAATTGGGAGTGATGATGCTTCTGCTTGTGTTATTTATTTTCCAAGCTGTTAATGAGCTCGGGGCTGGAGCGATAGCACAGCGGTAGGGCGTTTGCCTTGTGCGCAGCCAGCCTGGTCGACCCGGGTTCGATTCCTCTGCCCCCTCTTGGAGAGCCCTGCAAGCTACTGAGAGTATCTCGCCTGCACTACAAAGGATAGCCATCAAGTCCCTCTTCTCAAAATGAGCTTTACAGCAACCTCAGAGAAGAAGTAACTAATATTGTAATTAATATGTATTAGATATTGGAAGTGATTAATATTGCATCTCAAGGTCACGGTCCAGTCCAGATTTTTCCAAACACCTGAAGATTCATAATTTACATCAGTACAGCCAAGGATTTGGGAAGTTTGATTAATTACACACTCAACTCAAAAATTCTTTATCTAAGACAAGATGATTCTCTTGGATGTCACTTTAATTATCAAAGTACAGATTAATCAAGAGAGGCAAATTGTTTGGAAAATGTTCGTCTAAATGCATCACGTGTTCTAGAGAGAATTTTTTCTGTTCCAAACATTATGATGAATGACTTAAATTTTTTGGATCCAAGTCTGCTTTTCAGTTTGAGGTATTAATACAGAATTTACTTTCCAGGAAGTAATATTACTTCCATAAAAGACTTGTAAGGGCCCTTTCAGTTTTCTGGCAGGTATGAGATACACAGAGAACAAGTCTGCTTTGGTACCTGGGGCTCCTGGTCATGGCCGCCGGGGTCCCTCTCGTAACTCTCTGCATACAGTCTGATGGTGGCCCGTATGCCGCTGGAGGAACTGAGCCGAAAGATGAGCCGAGATGCATCTGAGAAAATGATTCTCAGGCCCTGAAACCAAGAATATCCAGAGTGGGGTTATGAATAAATGAAGATACAATTGCAATGATTAATACCTATCTCGGAGATCAGTAAATTTCTCTAATCAAAGGACAAACAAGGTCCTGGAATTTTATACTCAGCATTTGACACTCCCCACAGCAGAACAGCAGGTGAAGCTAAAAGTTACTTAAGGTTTCCATTTGTCTTTTATTCTATTTCTGTTGTCTTGTGGTTAAAATTGGGGGAGGGTTAGGAGCAAAATGATGAACAGATGTTCAAGTTCCCTTGGTCTGATGAGATGAGAATCAAAAAACCAGGTAGCTCTAACAAGGATAGAAAAAGATTTAATGTCCCTAAGGCCAAAGCTTGTCCCTTAAACAGTTGTTGGATACAACGGGGGAGTAAGCATTTTGTCTACTGCAACAACATAAAATACCTGTGCTAAGTTTATTTCCTTAATCTCAAGAGGAAACTTTAAGTTCCTGGGGGTTTTATGTGTGTGCTGGTGGTGACGGTGACAGTTCTGGTCATGTTGATGAGGGGCCACACCCAGTGGTGTTTGGGAGCACATGGGGCCAAGAATCAAAACCAAGACAGGCATTTGTCCTACCACTTGAGCCACATCCCAACCCTAAGTTTATATTCTGATTTTTCTTTCCTTGTCCCCACATTCCTACCGCAGCAATGTAATTCTACAGTAAAGTGCTCAGGTCTAGAGTCTGAACTGGGTGCAAAGGCTGCCTGAGTACATCTTCATCTTCTTGCCTTTATCCTTACATGGAAGACCTTGCTTGACTGCAGAATGTACTGAAACAGAGCTGTGACTACCCCACTGTCCGACCAGTACTAATTGGGCTGGGCTAAGAACATATCTATCTATTCTCTCAATACCACTTTTCATTAGTGGCGAGGTATTTTTAAAGTGACTATAGATCAAATTGTGACTTTTGTGGAAAGAAATTTGTTTTCCTAAGATGACTGATAAAGCCATTGTTATCAAAGAGCTTATTGCCAGCGGTCAGAGGAAATAGAAGGGAACAAAATAATATGTCTGGCTACTTGTTATTTCTGAAAAAGGAGACAACTCAGGAAATTTTGATACCAGACATTTTCCCCTACAAAATGTACCCTTGACGTGTCTCTGATGCTAAATCCTGCTAGTTAAGAATAAACTGTTATAAAAATATACTCTACCTGCCATATAAACCTGACAGTCAATTCCTTATTCTATTCCCATGTAGATTCAGGAGTGCTGATTCCATCAGAGTGATTTTTCTGCTTTTGACATTTTATAGGTATATATTGTCCCAATCCTTAATTCAAAAGCCTGAGTCTCCTGAAGCGGTATAATATGTGCTTTAATTTGTATAACAAAAGGGGACCATTTCCCTAACTGGCAAGCCACCATGATATGATAGTAGTTTTGCAAATAGGAAGCTGTTTGTGAGGACCCTCCCAGGGTGGGAGAAGCATGCTAAAAGTAGTCTATAGACCAAACATGATTGCCACTCAATGCCTCTCTTGCAAAACACAGTACCCAAAAGAAGAGAGAGAGAACAAGGGGGAATTCCCTGCCACAGAGGCAGGGTGGGGCGGGGGGGATGGGAGGTGGGAGGGATGCTGGGACCCATGGTGGTGGAGGATGGGCACTGGTGGAGAGATGGGTACTTGATCATTGTATAACTGAAACCCAAGCACAAAAATTTATAAGTCTATAACTGTACCTCATGGTGTTTCACTAATAAAAAAAATTTTTTTTAGCTGTTATTCAGGATTCATTCATTAGACAAACATTTCAGAGCACCTCTCCTTGGATGGATGAGCTCTGGGCTAAGCTCAGGTTATACAAAGATAATGACATAGTACTTACTCTCCATAAGCCTTAATGGGTTATGGTAATTACATTATAGTGAACTGAACCCCTTTTCTTAATCACTGTAGAAAGCTGGAGAAGTCAATAGTTGTAAAATTCGGAATGCAGCAATTCCCTGCTATCCACAAAGTATACACCATACACCAAATTCAAACTGATAATGAAGTCTTTAAAGCTTCCACAATCGCATTCACAGGCATGTTTTTACAAATTCTTTTGCAGTTATAATTTCTCATTAAGCCTACATTTTCACTGTCACCATGTCTGATACACAAGACAAAGTAGTTTCATTATTTAGGACTATAGGTTATTCATAAATCAGTTACAGTAATATCCAAGGCTGAAACCATAAACCACTTGTTGATTCTAAATAACTCTTCTAATGATCTTTCAGACTCACCCATTTGAGATAGTTCCTACAACACAAGTAAACTTCCAGATTAGTTTGTTACCAGTGAAAGTTATTTAAGAATCCAGGCCATAAAAAACCAGCAAGATATGTTATCTACTCCTAACTTAGTCTTTTTTTTAAAAAGGAAATTATGTTGCATTTTTACCCCTTGAGTGTAGTTGTGCCTTTAGCTGTAACAGAAGACTAATTAGAACCTATATCTGACAGCCTGAAATAGATTATGTGAAAATATGGAAACCAAGTGAATAACAAACATCAATCTACTGCAAATAATTCAACATCTTCTCTCAGAAGGAACCAACTATGAGATCTTAATAGAAAATTAGGTGCTTGGGAGACCTCTGGGGAAGTAACAGCATGACTCTCTTTTCCCACATGGAACGATAAAACTTTAGAGTCAGCTCAGTTCTTTGCTATACCAACACTAATTCCATGTCTGAAGACTGTCCCTTTGTATAAACAGTTGTACGGGATTGCATTGAGAGTGACTGCATGTTCCTCCAATGAACGTGAGGCGTTCTCAGTCTGAATATGAGCCAAATTCTCTCTAGCATGCACCATCACCTACTATCTGTTCAAATATGAGGTCAAAATCAACACTGGCCAAGACGTATCAAATTGATAAATATTCCTTAATCCTAACAAAAAAATTATAATTTTCCTCCTACTCCCCTTTTAAAAATAAACCAGGAGTTGACAGTATATAGATTGTTGCCCAAATATGACCTTCTACCTGTTTCTATAAAGTTTTATTGGATCACAGTCACACCCATTCACTTCTGTATTCACATGATGCTTTTGTACTATATATCTGCAAAGCTGAATGGCTGTGACATTGGCTGACTAACAAGAACAAAAATATTTACAATCTGGCCCTCAACCAAAAACATTTTTTTTGATCTGTGGTAGAAACCATCATATACTCCCAACTTAGAATATCTTCCCTTCAGTCTTACCTCAAAAAATGGAAAATATAACCATCTTCCCTATAAAAATCCCCAAAGAGAGAACTTATGCTTATGAATATTAAGAGTGTCTAACCCATCCATTTCCCAGGTATTCCTAGTCATATATTCATCTGGACACATATTTGGCAATGTTCAGTGCACATCTGACCACCTACTCCTGAGAGAAAAAAATGATTACATTAAATTGCATTTTAGTTTATTTTACTTTTGTGAGAGGGGAGAGGGGCCACACCTGGCTTGCTCAGGGATTATTTCTGGTTCTGCACTTAGTGAACCCTTCTGGTGGGGTTGGGAGATCATATGTGGTACCAGGGATTGAACCGATGTTTGCCACATGCAAGTGCTCTACTCACATACAAAACTAAAATGCTCTGGTCCAGCATTTCAGTTTTATATGATAACTTATTGCAATGTATTATGCACAGTCTTATAAAGTCTCATTTTGCAGTCATATAGGAATATCACTGGATGTTGGATAAAACTCTACACAAGACATTTCCTAAAGTGCCAAGTGTTAGGAAAGACCCTCATTCCCTGTGGAACTGGTATTTTCCCCCTTCTTTATGACAGTAAAAACTGTATAGCTAATAATATTTCCCCTTTTCAATATAGCTGCCAGAACACCAATGCCAAATTTGAGGTTCAATCCAAGTGGATCCTTATGACTTGCACAACTGAATTTTCTTCTTCTGTTCTTGACTCTGTAATCTTATTCATATTTCCCTAGTCTTGATTTCTGTTTTTTATTTATATTCTAACAGCTTCATTATGTATTTTTGCCTTCATAATCCTATTGCAAGGTCCAATGCAAGTGAATAAATTTCCCAACAGTCTTAACCAGAGGGTGTGGAAATTGCTCAACGGTGTCTTTGGGCCCTTCATTAGCTATGAGCTCTGGCAGGGAAAAGCCTGATATTCCCTGTTCACCATTTATCTGCATAGCATTGATCAACATGGGTGCAGAGTTGACCCTCATAAATATTTGTACAATGACAGAACATCACTGTACACTCCACAGTAGGAGAGAGTATGACTAGAAACTCTCCTCCTTCCACATTCATTAAGTTATCATAGGACAAATGAAAATACACTCATATTTTCATTGGTGAACTGGGGATAACCTACTTTGAAAGGTAGTGGTACAAGATAAAATCATGTCTAGGAATCTTTTACAAATCATCATTATAGTACCTGCTCTATGGTATTTATTTATCTTCCACTGACAAAATTTTAGCTTTAACTAAAAATAATAGATTTCAACCGTGATAGGATCCTGTCCCAAGCTGGATGACCTTGGGACAAATTGTTACCTGTTAATGGCAAACCTTGTTTCACACTGGACTCATCTGAGAGTCCTTAAGAAAGAGTGATATCTATTTGTCACGTCCTTAGGACTTAATGTGTTGGTGATCTGACTTGAGTGACTGACAAAAGGTCTCTTGGTGATTCCAATGAGTAGACTCTTAGAGTCACCTGCCTCTTGTATCAAGTGAACTGATACAAGAGGCAGGTGGTTCTTAAGAAAGATCCATTTAAGACCTTAGGCAGGCAATAATAAAATCATCATCTGGTTGCTGAGTCCTGAAACCCTCCTTCAAGAGACTTCTCTGAAGTCCTCCACTGAGGCACGTGGTTCTAACTGGTGAAGACACAATCGTCCAAGAAGCTCTTGAAGAGTGAAGGACTCCAGAACATCATCACTGTCACAACAACTAGTACTGTAAATCATCCAGATGATGAAGGATAGTCACAAATT